ATACTTATCAAGGACCCAGAGCTATTTATAGATAAGTTTGGGAATCTATTTGGGTTCCAAATATATGGAACAGGTTTGGATCCTGGGACGATATTATACATAGGAATAGAGACAGATACAGTGGCCCCCCAGACTCATCAGGTTTTCCATTCTTTTTATGAGGAGATGAGTGTGGAAGATAAGGTTCCCCATAATGCCAAAAACTTATTCATAGACCTAGCTGAGAGCATTGCTGGTAGTCTTAATGTAACCAACTGCTATGTGTGTGGAGGTACTAATATGGGAGACCAATGGCCTTGGGAAGCAAAGGAGGTAATGTATTCTGGTTCTGAGACAGTTGAACAACTAATATCTTCTCAATCTGATTATCAAGTGAGTGTTAGAGGTAAATCTGAGTGGCGATTAAAGACCTCCATTATAGGTTATGTTTGTATAGCAAGGAAAGGAATAATGTTTAATACATCTGTAGGAGAATTGACTTGTTTAGGGCAGAAAGCCTATAATGACGATACAAAGGATACTATTTGGTGGTCAGCTTCAAATGTCTCAGAACCGTCTAATCCGTTTGCAAATTATACCAATTTAAAGGATGTATGGTTTGACCTATCTGCTACATCTAGTTGGAAAGCCCCAGCAAATTTGTACTGGATTTGTGGTAAGAAAGCATATTCGGAGTTACCACAGGACTGGGAAGGGGCATGTGTATTGGGTATGCTCAAACCATCCTTCTTCTTGTTGCCAATTGAAACAGGAGAGACTTTGGGAGTTAAAGTATATGATGTAAATCATAGGAGATAGGTACCTGGGAAGATGATGAGTGGCCTCCCTAGCGTATTATAGATTATTATGGGCCAGCTACATGGGCAGAGGATGGTACTTATGGATACAGAACCCCAATATATATGCTTAATCGTATTATAAGATTGCAAGCAGTAGTTGAGATAGTTACCAATGAAACATCACAAGCGCTCAATCTCCTAGCGAAGCATAACACTAGGATGAGGACAGCCATCTACCAGAATAAATTAGCTTTGGATTGCCTATTGGCATTAGAGGGAGGTGTATGTGGGAAGTTTAATCTAAGCAATTGTTGTCTTCAAATAGATGATGAAGGGAAAGCAATAGCTGAGCTTACTAGCCATATGGTTAAGCTAGCACATGTACCTACTCAAGTATGGAAAGGGTATAATCCGAGTAGTTGGTTTGGTAGTTGGTATGAGCAGTTTGGAGGAATCAAGGCATTGGTAGGTGGAGTCATACTGATTTTGATGTTGTGTCTCCTTCTGCCATGTCTGATTCCTTTGGTAATTAGGTCTATGCAGAGCATTATAGAAAGTATAGCAGAAAGAAAGGCCGCAGCACAGGTAATGGCTGTTTGCAGGTATGAAGCTCTAGATCAAGGAGAATACATGCAGGAAGAGGAATGTTGAGGGGTTCGTATCTTTAGAGGATCGCAAAGTCTAGTCTGGTTTATGGCAACTTGAGGTGTAAGCAAACTATGATTGGTGATGCATCTGGAATTATTTTAAATCAGAAGCATCAAAGGGGGCAATGTGATGGAATTCCAGTAAAATACAAGTTTAGCAGGCCAAGATTGCCACAAGGCATATGTAGGTACATGTGTTTGTAGTATCAGTTAGTTAGTTACACGTAGCTAAGATACTGTCATCACTGTACTGAGCATATGCAGGAACTGGAATTACGCGTTCCTCTCCTTTGTTTCAGATGAGCCACGTGGTTAGACCGGATGGATGAGTTTAGACTGTATTCATTGATTAGGTTAAGGGTATGTGTGGGCGTAGCTAATTATGGGAGAAGCTACAGTGCTATATAAGGAATGTACTCTATGTATTCAGTACTCAGATCTTTGCTGTTTTTGGTGACATAAGTCCCTCTGAGTCCCGGTCGGTGAATCGAATAAAGATCTCTTCCTTCCTGAAGAAACCTGTGTCCATCTCTGTGTGCTTGGCCTCCGTCAGTTTCCTGGTAACAGTATTGTATATGATACCTATGAATGTGGGCTGTGTATGGGGACTGCTTGTGGAATCGTGTGTTGAGATGATATGTCACTTTGTGTGTCCGGTGATGTGTAGAGCTGCTTGTGTTGTCATGTGCATGTGGATTGTCAGTCGTGTTGTGTTTGTGGGGAGTGTGTGTGCGTGGGCTGTTTTTATTAGGGGAAGGCTTCTTCTGCAGCTCTGTCTATATATATATATATATATATATATATATATATACACACACACACACACTAGTGTTGGTGGCTTCCCTGGTGTCCAGTGGAGATTGGGATGGTTATGTTATAGGCTTTACTCCAGCATTGATTCCCATTTACAAGTACTTGGAGAAAGTGATTTGAGATCACTTTTCTAAGTGCTGCAATTCGTAATTGAGGATTGTCCCTCACCACCTGCTTGGGTTGCACTAGCAGATATCCTACTGGGACTCTTGACAGGCCAGAGTCTGTTTGCCTCAGGCAGCCTTGAGTATTGTGCAAATACTTTTTTCTAGTGCAGAGTCTCCTTCGGCGCTGTTCACCTCCCCGCCTCTGGCAACGTTGCGGAGGACGTCTGGTCTCCTATGTAATGGTCATAATGCACTCACTTGGCCAGTGGCGCAGGAGCATTCAAACTTCCTCATAGGAAAGCAATTACACTCACAGACATGTCATGTGTCCTTAAGGGGTTAAAGTTTTAGCAGCGTCTGTGAGCGTAAGCAATTTTTAGTGTTACATAACATGACTAGCTTTTGAAGAAGGGCTTTAGAGGGGGAGCATTTGTGATTGCTCAGTAACAAATGACTACGGGATTTCTTGAGATATGTGGTCAACCTTATCAGTTTACCCCAAATGACTGGTTTATGTGCTGCCAACAGAGTGGACGGGGAGAAGCCTGAGGGACTATTAACCCCTTAGTGACCAGACCGTTATTCAATTTTCTCACCGTTGAGGACCAGGGCTCTTTTTACATTTGTCGTGTTTATGTTTAGCTGTAATTTTCCTCTTACTCATTTACTGTAGCCCCACATGTTATATACCGTTTTCTCACCATTTCTAAAGACCATTTAATGGCAAATTTACTATAAATTTTTTTATAAAATATGATGAAAAATTTAAAAAAAAGCACACCTTTTTTAACTTTGACCCCCAAAATCTGTTACGCATCTACAACTGCCAAAAAACACCCATGCTAAATAGTTTCTAAATTTTGTCCTGAGTTTAGAAATGCCCAATGTTAACATGTTCTTTGCTTTTTTTGGAAAGTTATAGGGCTATAAGTACAAGTAGCACTTTGCTTTTTCCAAACCAATTTTTTCCAAATTAACACAAGTTACATTGTAACACTGATAATTGTCAGGAATCCCTCAATAACCCTTTACATGTATACATTTTTTAAAAGAAGACAACCTAAGATATTAAATTATTAAACTTGGGGTATTTTGACTCTTTTCATGCAACCATTTTACCACCAATCTATTCCAAATTTAAAAAACTGGTGATTCTTTTGACACACATAGCAATTTAAGAAGACATGTACAGAGAACTTTAAGGGTTACTGCCAAAGAGCACCCCGATATGTGTTCAACAACATCTCCTGGGTACAGTGATACCACCCATGTACAGGTGTGTCGGGTTCTCTGGGGGCTAAAAGACCTTATTTGGAGGGTGCGCATTCCAGTTTTCCAACTTGAAATTTTCTCAGCTGGTCATCATGCACCCATGTCCTATTTGGGACAGTTTTGAAGCCAGCCAATTTAATTTACTCCCATCAAACCAAATATATTTGAAAAGTAGACACCCTAGGGTATTTCAAATGGTGGTATTTTAACACTTTCCATGCACTAATTCTACCACCAGTCTTTGTCAAATGTTTGGGTAGTAATTTTTTTATTTTTCACACACATTCTATTTTAGGCATGGATGCTCAACTCCTGTTAGGTGTTACTGCCAAAGAACACCCCAATATGTGTTCCGCAACATCTCCTGAGTACAGTGATACCACCTATGCATAGGTTTTTTGGGTTGTTTCAGGGGTGCAATGCCAAACTTCTGACGTGTTTTTCATATTTAAAATATATTCTTTGCCTATCTTTTTTGGCGGGGCCTTTTTAGATATCCCAATTTATTTTCTTGCCATGAGCGTGCATATAATTGAAAAGTTGACACCCCACGGTATTGTATATGGAGTGTTTTGATGCAATCGTTTTATTCAAAAAATTGTCTGTGTAAAAGTGGTACCCTTTGTTCATCAGGGGAAATATCAGGTCCCAGAGAATCTTGCCACTGGTCCCCATATGTTCTGGGCAACCTGGAAGGTCAAGGTGGCTATCCTTTACCTCATACTCCAGGAAGGCCTGAGTATACCCAGTCTCGCTATCACAGAGCATTTACACCTTTACACCATACCTGAAACGCTTGGAAGGAATATACTGCTTGAATCCCAGCCTTGCCTTATACTTCATCAGGGATTCATCCACACATATATTCCTTCCAGGTATATATGACTCTGCAAACCTGGCAGAGAAGTGAGTAATCAGGGGACGGATTTTAAACAGCCAGTCAAATTGGGGATGCTCCCTATGGGCGCACAGGCTGTTTTCACTGAAGTGCATGAAATGCAGAATCATTTCATACCTCTCCATCGACATACACTGGGAGAAAATATGGGTAGAGCAGATGGGGCTGCTGCTCCAGTAGGAGCGGATGGAGGGCTTCTTTATGATGCCCATCAGCATAGTTAATGCCCAGAATTTTTTTTAATTCTGGCACATCGATGGGGGCCCGTTGCTGCTTTGCCAAAAAAGAGTGGGGCTTTGCAGCACGGTACTGATGGGCATATAAATTAGTTTGGACGACAATGTTCCCTAATACATCATCGCCCAGAAACATCTCCGTAAACTGCTGAGTGCTAATTCATGCAACATCCACATTGATGCCAGGATTTGCAGTGAAGGCTGGGATATCTGGCCTTTGGCGATGAGGCACTACTGACTCCTCAGCAGTACTGCCAGCTGGAGCAGCATGTGTCCTTCTGGCAGGGTGACTAGCAGTCACAGATACATCATAACTGTATCTAGTGATGTATCTGATCACCTGGCAGGGTCGGAGTCAGACATAGACGTGTCAGACTCTAACGCAAGGATGGCATACACCTACTCAGCGCTATACGACCTCTTTGACATGATCTCAATCACTTTATTTAGTAATCTGTCACTAAAAACACTAAAAAAAATGGGTGGGTGAGGAGAGACCACTAAGGGAGGGTGGGGGGGAGAGCAGAGACCACTAAGGAAGGGAGGTGGGGTGGAGGAGAGACCAATGGGGGGAGGGGTGAGAAGAGACCACTAGGGGAGTGTGGGGGAGGAGAGACCACTAATGGAAAGGGGGGGCAGAGGAGAGCAGAGACCAATAATGGAAAGTCAGGGAGAAAAGGAGAGACCACTAAGGGAAGAGAGGGGAGGAGAGTAGAGACCACCAAGGGACAGGGGAGGAGAAGAGAGACCACTAAGGAGCAGAGGAGAGGTCTAAGGGATGGAAGGGAGAGCTTTATAGGACAGGGCAGGGAGCTCTTTCACACTACGCACATACAAACACAATGCATCCCTATACATATACAGAAACACAACATGCTTCCCTTACACACAGAGAAACACAATGCATCCATTACACACACACACAATGCAACCCTTACACATAAAGACAATGCATGCCTTACACACAACAAGAAAAACACAATGCATCCCTTATACACAAACACACACTGCTTTCTATCCCTTACACAAAAACACACTGCTTCCACTACACACAAACACATTGCATCACCTACACAAACTGGTACCCCTATACACTACATTCCATAAGCACACACATTTTATCCTCTACAATAACACATCCCCTACACACTCCACTCCCTGTGAGCGAACTCATGGGTGGACTTATGGGTGGGCCTTATGGGCATACTCACCGTCAGGGCTGCCATCAGAAATGTTGGGGCCCCTGACACAGCTCAAGGTCTGGGCCCCCCGGTGCCTGCACCCGAGTCCGCCCAAAGTGCTGCCCCCCCCCTCCGAATCCGCCCACAGGGATGCAGTGTCTGCAGGACCGGTGCAAGGATTTTTGCCGCCCTAGGCAAAAGTAAAGTTTGCCGCCCCCCCATGTGACATCACAATGCCCCACCCATATGATCTGCCATGTTAACTAACACCAGTGCTGCGGTGTTTGCATTAAAAGGCCTGCAGGGACAGGCTAGACACCAGAACCACTACATTAAGCTGCAGTGGTTCTGGGGACTATAGTGTCCCTTTAATGTGAGGTAAATTAGAGATTAGTGCCACGAATAATATACTAGATTGCCTACTTACAACCAGATGAGGATGATGATGGGCTCTAGCTGCCGTCTGGCTCCACTGGTCTGGTGTACAACAGGCTCTCTGGAGGCGGTTTGCAACTGTGGTCACAAAAATCACTGTTCTGGGAGAACGGGAAGCAGCTCCATTTTTTTGAGGGCCCTTTACGCAGCTCAAGGTCTGGGTCCCAGGGTCCACCTTCATGTTACACCAATAAGTTTGTTCACAGGGAGTGGAGTGTGTGTGTGTGGGATGTCCTGATGAGTGTAAGGAATGCATTGTGTGAATCTGTGTTTGTATGTGTAAGGGCTGCAAGATGAGTTTGTGTATGTATGGGATGCAGTGTGTGCGTCTGTAAGGGATGCATTGAGTGTGTGTAAGGGGTGCATTGTGTGTTGCTGTGTGTAAGGGATGCATTGCTTGTGTACGTGTGTCTGTGTGTAATGCATTGTGTGTTTTTCTGTGTGCAAGGTGTGCATTGTGTGTGATGGATGTCAATCTCTCCCCCTCCCCCTGTCAATTTCCTTCTCCCCCTCCCTCCCTCTATCCAATTTCCTTCTTCTCCCCCTCCCTCTCCAATTTCCTTCTTCCCCCCTCCAATTTCCTTCTTCTCCCCCTCCCTCCCTCTCTCCAATTTCCTTCTTCTCCCCCTCCCTCTCCAATTTCCTTCTTCCCCCCTCCAATTTCCTTCTTCTCCCTCTCATTTCCTTCTCTCCCCCCTCCAATTTCCTTCCCCTCCTCCCGTCCCTCAAATTTCCTTCCTCTCCCCGTCCCTCAAATTTAATTCCTTTCCCCCCTCCCCCTCAAATTTCCTTCCTCTCCCCCCTCCCTCAAATTTAATTCCTTTCCCCCTCCCCCTCAAATTTAATTCCTCTCCTCCCCTCAAATTTCATTCCTGTCCCCCCCTCCCACCGATTTCATTTTGCCCCCCCCTCCTGGGGTTCATTCCTCCCCTTCCATTTCCTTCTCCCATTTCATTCCTCCCCCACCCATTTCTTTCTCCCCTTCAATCCTTCCCTCCCTCAATTTCATTCCTCCCCTCCCATCTCCCGTTTCAACATTTACCTCCATTTCATTTCTTCCCCCCCTCCATTTCATTCCTTCCCCCCCTCCATCTCCCATTTCATTCCCCCCCTCCATACCCATTTCGTTTCCCTCCCCCATTTCATTCCTTCCCCCTCCCATTTGGTTCCTTCTCCCCCCTTCCCATTTCATTCCTTCCCACCCCCTTTCTTCTCCCCCCCTCCATCTCCCATTTCATTTCTCCCCCCCCTCCCATTCCTTCCCCTCTCCCATTTCATTCCCCCCACTCCCATCTCCCATTTCATTTCCTCCCCCATTTCATTTCCTTCCCCCCTCCATTTTAATACCTTCCTCCCCCTTCCCATTTCATTCCCTTCCCACCCCCTTTCCTTCTCTCCCCCCCCTTCTCCCTCCCATTCCTTCTCCTCCCCCCCTCCCATTTTCTCCCCCCCCACACTGATACCCGGCGGCGGGCGGGAGGGCGGGCGCGCGAGGGAGCACTCTCTGTGTGCTTCCTCTTCAGCTCCCTCGCGCACCGTACTGATGCCGGAGCCGGAAGATGACGTCATCTTCCGGCTCCGGCATCAGTACGGTGCGCGAGGGAGCTGAAGAGGAAGCATACAGAGAGTGCTCCCTCGCGCGCCGGACGGCTTTCAGGGCCAGCCTCTGGGGGGGCCCTGAGGTGACCGGCTGCTGGGCCCCCCAGGAGAAGAGGCTGGCCCTGTAGGTACATACCGGGTCGCAGGGCCCCCTGCGACCCGGTATGTACCCACTGAATCTGGTGCCCGGACCACCTGAGCAGTCCGGGCCCCCCAGGACCGCCGGGCCCATGACAACCGTTGCGGTTGTCATGCCCTGATGGCGGCCCTGCTCACCGTCAGGCCCTGGGGTCCAGACCTTGAGCTGTATAAGGGGCCCTAAAAAAAATGGAGCTTCTTCCCGTTCTCCCAAAACATTGACTTTTGTGACCACAGTTACAAACAGCCTCCAGAGATCCTGTTCTACACCAGACCTGTGGAACCAAACTGCAGCCAGAGCCCATCACCATCTTCATCTGGTTGTAAGTAGGCAATCTAGTATATTATTCGTGGCACTAATCTCTAATTTACCTCACATTAAAGGGGCACTATAGTCCCCAGAACCACTGCAACTTAATGAAGTGGTTCTGGTGTCTATAGCCTGTCCCTGTAGGATTTTTAATGTAAACACACACTGTGTGCAGCACTGGCGTTAGTTCATATGACAGATCATATGGGTGGGGCATTGTGATGTCACATGGGGGGGTAGGGGTGGCAAATTTTCATTATGCCTAGGTTGGCAAAAATCTTTGCACGGCCCTGCTGGCAGGATAGGGGTTAATTGCTCTGAAAAGAGCTTTTGGGTCTCACAAAAAAAATAAAAACCCTAAAAAAATGCACAGACAGCAAAAAAAGTGCTGCTGTGCAAGAGCCAGTGATTATAGTGAACACTGGCAACATAGCGGTTAATTGATCTGAGCCTTTGGGTCTCACAATTTTACAAATCCCTACCTAAAACTACATAAATCTATTTACCTAAAACACAGATCTCTCTCACTAAAACACAGTAAAGAGAGGGAGGGAGATCCACACTGATCAGAGTCAATATTTACTAATAATTGACCTGATCAGACAAATGGGGGACAAAGAATAAATATTATTATTGGTATAAGCTCTGGTTGGATGTCCCTAGCGAGGCGGGCTAGTGCACTGATGCACTGCCTTTAGAAAGTAGGATCCTTATGAATGTAATTATTCTCCTTATTTTACTTTCTCTTTACTTTCTTTTATTTCCTCTTTCTCCTCTAACTTCTATCTCTTCTCTTCTTCCACATCAACACCCTGATCTATACGTCTACTTACGTCTTTGTAGAATGCAATTAAGTTAGTTTGACATGCCCTATGTTTCATAAAAAACTGTTCTTCCCAATGAAATCCTGCAAATTACCCTTAATAATTCATTAAATGCTTTCCCAGGCATTTTAATCTCACAGGTCTATAATTTCCAGGTAAATATTTTGAACTCCTTTTGAATATAGGAATCACATCTGCCTTCCTCCAATCATCCAGTACAATTCCTGAAAGATTAAAAACAGAGATTTGCTTATTTCCACACAAAGGTACACTATAGTCACCAAAACAACTTTAGCTTAATGAAGCAGGTTTGGTGCATAGATCATGCCTTTGAAGTTTCACTGCTCAATTCAATGGCATTTAGGAGTAAAATCACTGTTGCTTATACAACCCTAGCTACACCTACCCTGGCTGTGACTGACACAGCTTGCATGAAAACAAAATGGTTTTGTTTTCAATCAGATGTAACTTACTTTAAAAGTTTTTATCTTATGCTCTGTAAATTGGACTTTAATTACATAAAATGCGATCCTGCAGGGTCTAGCAAACAATAAACAAGTAGAAGATAAGAAATTCTAAATTAAACAGAATTTGCAAAAAAGGAAGTGTAAGCATTAGATGACTCTTTACACAAAGTGTTTAGAAAGGCTGTGTAAGTCACATGCAGGGAGGTGTGCCTAGGACTGCATAAACAAAGTTGTAAAGGAGCTTCCTGTACCCTGGTTGGGTACCTCCGCCGACGGATGCTCCTAGTGCTCACCAAGGACTCCAAGCACTCCACCAGACACCATCAGCACCTATTTTTGCCCAGGCGAACACAGGATTTCATACCCAAAACAGTTCCATAGAATCGCAGCTAAGTGCAGCTGGAGTGCCGACCGGGAAGCGCCAGGTTTTCATGCCGAAAATAGTTCCAGGGCATTTGCAGCTAAGTCCCTCTTAAGTCTATTAGCAGTTTTGGTCCATGAGAACACGTGTTCGAATGTCGAATGGCGGCCACTTCGACCGTTCGGGAGTTTGAAGAACCATTGTTTAAAGTCCCAATAGCCACAAATAGGGTCTCTCAACCACAATAAATTAAAGGGGCCATAGTCACAGGGTAAAAGGCTGGCAAGTAGTCCCCTCCAAAAACCAGTGGCAAAGTCACTTTCGCCACAAAAGTGATTTAACTCCTAAATAGCAGTGAATTGAGCAGTGAGACTGCAGGGGCATGATATATACACCAAAACCGCATCATTAAGCTAAAGTTGGTTTGGTGACTATAGTGTCCCTTTAAGTTTTCGTAGATGAATACCATCAGACCCTGGGGCTTTGTTTACATTAACTTTCTTTAGTTGCTGTAGCACCTTGTCTTGAGTCATCCAATCCCAATTTTCTTAATATATACTGTGGAAAAATGTCTGCCTTTTCCTGGCATTAACTAACACACCTATCTCTGATTTCAGTGTACCTACATTTTCATTTTTTTTTTTATGTACTTAAAAGGACATTATAGTCACCAGAACAACTACAGCATATTTTGTAGGCTTTTTGCTGTAAACACTGCTGTGGCAAACGTGCCTAAGCTATTGGTGGAGCCTGCTAGCTAGCCTACTGCCTAAGGACTATGGGCCATATCCAAAGACCCTGTTCGGGAGTTAAACCTCCCCAGCAGCTTTCATTGGGTGCCCCTGGTTCAGCACTTTCCCTTCATTTGAATGGAACCAAACGCTAGCTCCCTAGCGACCGTTCGCATGAAGAAACCCACAAATTGTCCTCAGCGGTAGGTAGCCCTGATCGTTATGGAACTAAATTCGGCATGAGGACTTTGTAGATTCCCAGTCACTTCAGCAGGACTTAGCTGCGAATGTTATGGAACTGTTTTCGGCATGAGGTGACCGTGCAGCTCCCGGACAACTTAGTCCGGGGTTTTGAACAACTTTGCAACCCGCCAGGAGAGCACTTTTTGGAGGGAGGGTGCCCTGAGACTAAGGGGCACAAACCCTACCTAAGAGCCAGCTGGAGCACCCTATATTTCCGACGCAGGAGCTCACGAAAGTTGACCGGCCAAAGCACCAAACGCCCTGGAACTGTTTTGGGCATAGTACCATGTGTGCAGCCGGTCAGAACCTTAATACGGCGTTTCCCCTACACTGCATGGATCTGGGCGCTATTTGGAGAACTTGGGGGCTCAGATCAGGGCTATTTGGGGATGTATTATTTGTGGGGTTATTTTATGTTTTTATGATGTTTTGGCGTATTTTTATGTTTGTTTGCCTCTCTGTTCCTGGGAGATAATTAGCTTACCGGTCTTTCACACAATTATCTCTCAGGCACAGAGATTTATTGGAGGGACTTATCTTGCATTGATTGGAGACCCCATGCTGTGGGCTGTGTATAAAAGCAGGCAACTTGTCCATAATAAACCAGTTCCTTTACACCCTTCACTCAGTCTCGACTAGTGTTTGGGCGTACCAGCATTATATCTGTACCTGGAAAGTCATAAATGTCAGGTTGATATAAAAAATAATAATTACTAGGAAAATAAAAAGTTCATTTAATTTACACAGCATTCCTATCTGTACCTGGAAAGTCAAAAATGACAGGTAAATGTGAAAAAAGCACAAGCAATAGCTAACCTTTAGTTTAAAAAAAAAATGAATAAAAAGTCAATGATGATAGTTCCACTTTAACCCAGGAGAGCAGACAATAAAACAAAAAAAAGACAAGTTATTAAAACATGTTTCCTTTCATCACAGAACCACTAAAAAGCTGTGCCCAGGGAAGGATTCGCATTGATCTGTTTATAACTTTTGCTTGATTACATAAGCCCTTACACAAATAAATACAATATAATGCCTTAAAGCAAGGCTTGACAAATTTGCTTGAAATCTAGGAACCAGCTAAAAAAAGTTAGGCGCATAATTTTTTTATGTCATAAATACAATTTTTAAAGGAACACTATAGTCACCAGAACCACTACAGATTAAAGGACCACTCTAGGCACCCAGACCACTTCAGCTTAATGAAGTGGTCTGGGTGCCAGGTCCAGCTAGGGTTAACCCATTTTTTAATAAACATAGCAGTTTCAGAGAAACTGCTATGTTTATGAATGGGTTAAGCCTTCCCCCTAATCCTCTAGTGGCTGTCTCATTGACAACCACTAGAGGCGCTTGCGTGCTTCTCACTGTGATTTTCACAGTGAGAGCACGCAAGCGTCCATAGGAAAGCATTGTAAATGCTTTCCTATGCGACCGGCTGAATGCGCGCGCAGCTCTTGCCGCGCGTGCGCATTCAGCCGACGGGGCGGAACGGAGGAGGAGAGCTCCCCGCCCAGCGCTGGAAAAAGGTAAGTTTTAACCCCTTTCCCCTTTCCAGAGCCGGGCGGGAGGGGGTCCCACCCCTCCTGTTCAGCCACCTCTGTGCCTTAAGCCCCCCAGTTTTCCGACACGTCTAGTGACGTCATCTGTGAGTGAGCCAGCTGCAAAAAGAGTGTGCTGTGCTTTCCCTACTATGCCGAATGTGGAGGAGGACTGGGTACCTCCACAGTTAGCTGAGCCGAACATCCCCCCTTTTAGTGCCAACGCAGGTATTAATGTCAATGTGGATAACTTCTCCCCTATGCAAAATATGGAGCTATTTTTAGGGGATACCATCTGGGAGGAGATTGTTTCCCAGACTAATTTATATGCTACCCAATTTACTGATACCAATCCAGGTAGCTGTGCAGTCAGGGAGCATGCTTGGCATCCCACAGATGTCCCTGAATTTAAGAAATTCTGGACTCCTACAATGCTCATGGGGATTATAAAGAAGCCATCAATTTACTCTTACTGGAGCACCAACCCTATCTGTTCTAGTCCGGTGTACTCCCAAACCATGTCTAGAGCAAGATATGAGCTGCTGCTGAGATGCTTACATTTTAATGATAATACCCTCTGTCACCCCAGAGATCACCCCCAATATGATAGGCTTCATAAAATACGCCCACTGTTAGACCATCTTGAGCACAAACTTTCTGAAGTTTATACTCCCCAACAAAATGTATCCATTGATGAATCCTTAAAGAAATATAAAAGGAGATTAGGATTCAAACAATACATCCCGTCAAAGCGCTCTAGGTATGGCGCAAAAGCGTACAAATTGTGCAAGAGCGAAAGTGGCTATACATTTGCCTTTCGTGTATATGAGGGAAAAGATGGTCAACGGAACCGTCCTGGCTGTCCTGACTCTCTGGGGGCAAGTGGGAAACTTGTTTGGGACCTACTGATCCCCTTGTTCAATAAAGGTTACTACCTTTATGTGGACAATTTTTCAGCAGTGTCCACTTGTTTAAAATTCTTTATGGTTTGCAGACACTGGCCTGTGGCACTGTGAGAAGAAATTCCAAGGATTTCCCCAGACCTCTCATAGAGGCCAAATTAAAAAAAAGGTGAATGTAAAGCTCTGCGCAAAGCTGAAGCGCTTGCAATAAAATTTAAGGGCAGGAAGGATGTTAATATACTAACCACCATCCATGACGAAAGCATGACAGACGTCACTGTCCAACGCAGTGACCAAACCGGTTTGCATCAGAGCTTATAACAGACACATGGGGGGTGTTGATTTGGCTGATCAGCTGATGCAGCCATATCTTATCTTAAAGGACCACTATAGTGCCAGGAAAACATACTCGTTTTCCTGGCACTATAGTGCCCTGAGGGTGCCCCCACCCTCAGGGTCCCCCTACCGCCCAGCTCTGGAAAGGGGAAAAGGGGTTAAACTTACCTTTTTCCTGTGCTGGGCAGGGAGCTCTCCTCCTCCGATCCTCCTCCTGGGCTGAATGCGCGTGGGCGGCAAGAGCTGCGCGCGCATTCAGCCGGTCACATAGGAAAGCATTCATAATGTTTTCCTATGGATGCTGGCGTGCTCTCACTGTGAAAATCACAGTGAGAAGCACGCAAGCGCCTCTAGTGGCTGTCTCATTGATTAGGGGGAAGGCTTAACCCATTCATAAACATAGCAGTTTCTCCGAAACTGCTATGTTTATGAAAAAATGGGTTAACCCTAGCTGGACCAGGCACCCAGACCACTTCATTAAGCTGAAGTGGTCTGGGTGCCTAGAGTGGTCCTTTAAGAAAGACAAAAGCCTGGTATAAAAAGGTGGCTATCTACCTTTTAGTAGCAACACACAATTTATTTTTACTCTTTAAAAAAATTAATCCAGGAAAAACCACGATTGAGACTTTCTCCAATTTCATCTCAAGTTGATTTTCACAATAATTTATGGAGAGGATCAAGTTCCAACGACTGTGCCAGGGGAGTCCAGACATTTTATTTTTAAGATACTGCCAACTGCAAAAAAAACAAATCCCCAGAAACGTTGCCGGGTCTGTTATAAAAAAGGGAAAAGGACAGACACCCCTTTGCACTGTCCCAATTGCCCTTCAAAACCTGGACTGTGTATTGGAACATGTATTAAGCTCTACCACACAGATCATACCTTTTTGTAATACTTGTTCCTGAATATTATTTTGTTTCTTTTGAAAGCGGCAAATTTTAGTTAGTCAGTTTCCTTCCCCCAAATCTCCAGTTAGATTAATTTGGCAGGAGTTAGTTTAGAGATTGCTGCTAAATGTGCATTTGATACCTGCACACTTGGTTAAAAAGGTTTTCTGACAGTAACATATAACCGGCTGGTCAAAACCAGATGACGTGTGCATAAAAAGCAGAATTCAAAAATTACCACCATGCACATTCTCTGAAATTTGTTTAGCAGAATGGTTGGGGGAAGGATGTGAAAACACCCCATATACAATACCTTGGTGTTGTGGAAATGAAATATTGACATATTTTTAGCTAGTAAAATGTCTATTTACTCCATTTAGTTATACTCAATAAATTACTAAACTGACCACTAGATGTCACTCAGGAGTACCCCACCCATCGACCAAACACTCTAATTTTCAAGATGGCGCTGGAATCCGGGGGAGAACTTCATGACGACAGTAATGACATAAGAAGGCACACCCAGTAGGACGTGCTTTGAATAAAACACTTAACACTTAACCAATTATTGATGTATTATTCCATGTTATCTCTGACAATGCTTATGATGTAATTTTGCTTTAAAAGGGACCTGCCGTCCCCTCTGAATAAACTTTCCTCAAGTTATTCAACAACCTGGAACCTGTGTCTGGTGTGAATTACTTCAGGGAGCGTGCACGCACTGTTTCACTGATTTGGCCAGGGGCAGATACACAAAAAAATAATCAATGTGTTGATTGATTTTTCCATTTCAATTGGCGCCCAAGACGTGGGGCACCAGATTTGCCGGTTCGGAGGGCCGGAAACCAAGGACCGGAGCGGACCCCCAGAAAATGGGACAACCGGAGCCTGATCACCTCCAAAATACTGCCGTTGTCTGTATATTCCTTTTTGTGGTGGTCTGTCTCTGCGTCTACTTCCGGCATCCAGAAGGCTACAAGACAGGTAACTTCTTATCCGGTGCCTATTTAAAACGAACCTGTCGATTGTCTATCTGCCTCCTGAGTGCTTGTATGAATGTGTGTGACGGCCGGTGCATGTGCTTTTCTTTTAAGATTTTAGTTTGACTGCCTAGCGGGCAGGGGACGCATTACAGCCAGTAAGGGCTGTGTTTTTAGCTTGACTGCCTAGCGGGCAGGGGACGCATTACAGCCAGTAAGGGCTGGGTTTTTAGCTTGACTGCCTAGCGGGCAGGGGACGCATTACAGCCAGTAAGGGCTGGGTTTTTAGCTTGACTGCCTAGCGGGCAGGGGACGCATTACAACCGGTAAGGGCTGGGATTTTAGCTTGACTGCCTAGCGGGCAGGGGACGCATTACAGACGGTAGGGGCTGGGTACCACCCGGAGAAGGGTTGGGGAATTGTTACAGCCAGTAAAGGGCTGGGGACCACCTGGTAAAGGGTGGGGTTATTGTGTTATTGTTTTATTGTTGTCCACCCGGTAAAGGGTTGGGGTACAGCCTAGAGAGAGGCTGGGATTGTTATTGTATTGTCCTGAGTGGTTCAGGGGTTATTGCTGTGTTTTATTGCTTTACTATGCCTTTTTTGTCTTAGTATGTACATGGCCATATTGTTTTCTGTCATTTTGTGGGTTTTGTTCAATTGTTGTTACAGTGTGGGTACCTTTGGTGTTTGTGTCTGTGTAGTGTGGTTTGTTCTTGACTCTGGAGTGTACACCCACTTCTATGTATGTGATTTCTGCAAATGCCTAGTGCTTAGTGTTGCTACTTTCATTTTCTCCCTTACTCTGTATCTGTCCTGTCTCTGCTACCCAGAGCTGTGTTAGTCACCCACGCTCGCCCCCCCGGTCTGTGGCCACCACCCCCGGGTGCACAGACCATCGTGACTAGTCTACGTTTTGGGAAGACACACGGGTCCACCGTGGCAGTCGAGCACTGTAGACTTTCCTACTTCTTCTTCCCTCTCACTTGGTCTCCTTTACTTGGCAGACCTCGCTTGGTCAAAAAGGGGCAAGAACATGCTAGACCAGCTAAGGGGTATTTGGCTTGTGATATTGTTAAAGAGAGGGCAGGGGAAGAAGCTATGCTGAAAATGAAAAAGTTAGCAAAGATTTCTGGTTTCCAAACGTATAAGTCTCTGTCCTTCTGTCTTGTTACTTTACGGCGCTCACATGGTTAACCTTCATGCCTGCAGTTTCTCTCCATTTCTCTCTCTCCCCTTTTTGCACTCTGTCTCACTTTCTCCCCCCCCCCTTGCCTAGGGGGGAGGAGTGACATGCCTGCATTTCGGAGCTACTGATAAGAGTTAGAGACGGGATTTTTGCTGGAAAATATTCTAATTGTGTAATATTGTGTACATTGTTATATGCATAGACATTGTTAGGGAGGTTACGGTGTTATAATTGTGTAATAATATTATTATTGTTGCCGTTTGCATGGCGCCGGCAGATTCCACGGTGCTATATATATATATATATATATATATATAAATTGTGTTTTGTGATAAGGCAGTGAAGATTGTGGGGGAGACTCGCTCACAAGAATGTAGCTCAGTGTTGATTACGGAGGTTAGGTAAGTGAATCTGATACAAGAATAGAGGAATATTTGGACGTGTTAAGTGTAAAGGCAAGCGTGATTTGTTGCAAAACTATGCAAGGTGGATAGAGGGATTATGCAGTATAGCTAGGTTAGTATATGAAGAGGAAGGTGATTAATGGTTGTTGGATGATAAGGGAAATTGGTTGAATTCCGTGAGTTTATTTTGCATCATGTTACTTTAAAGTACATGTTTCTATGGACAGCTTTATGGGCTGTTAAATGCATAATGTTCTCAACTGTCTTATTTAACCTGTCAGGTTTATTTATAGTTTAGTATTTCATCTCGGAACTGACTTATTTTATTAGTTATAATATAGTGTATTGTTGAAAGTGCGTCAGCCACCACCCTAAAGATGGCGCCTAGTACAGAAGGAGGTTGGCCCTGCCAGTCCCATGACTTATCTACAGTCTCGGTTGCTTCTAAAGTGATGTCACTTCCCCCCTTACCATGCCCACACCTCCTGTCTTCCTTTCCCACACATATCATGGACGTCACTTCCTCCCTTGCTGTCATTTCCTTCCCTGCCCCTGTCATGGCCGCCTCCATCATGAGGCCTACCCCTATTATGCTCGTCCTATTTAGAGACATGTTGTTTTCCTTACACTCTACATATTATGAACAGGAACATTATAATTACTAAAACAATCATGCCATTTGTTTCCCTGTATCAGAAATGTGTCCGTGATAATATTAAAAAAAAAGAAAAAAGGTTGCTAAAATGTCATTTGCAACTGTGGTGTGACCTACAAATGAGTTCTGTTGGGCACGAATATAAGAGCATAACAGCTGATTATACGGATTAATATTCATTAATGCCTGTGTCTTGCAACAAGGGAAATTGCCAAATAATGCAAGTTATTTTAAACATTGTATCTTTACTTTATCGAATCTTGCTAGTTACAAATCGTATGTTTACAGTAACATCCTTTACGTTAAATGATGGTTTAGCATTAGAAGGGTTTGTGACATGTTTTATTAACCCAGCCACTACTGGTTATTCATTTAGTTACAGGGTGGTATAATTGTTATGGTCTAATTAATATAAATGATAGTACCGCAATAGTTAATGTTTTATCCAAAGACATATAGGAACTTTACTATTAACCATTATTTATAATGATAGACATGTTCAGACTGCAAAAAGCTATGGCTAATGACATAGAAAGGGGTTAGAGTCAGTAACACAGCCCATACAGAGGAGAGCAAACCCGCTGATACTTAATGCCCCTGCCATGTGTCTACAGGGGATGGGGGAGGGCCACTAGCCACAGTAGTTCTACCCGTTGAGGGTCATCCTACTACCTTTCTAGTTGACACAGGTGCAGCCCGTAGTGTTCTTAGGGAACAAGACCTGCCTGATCCCTCCTTTTTATCTGACACTGATGTCTCCTGTGTTGGGGTGGATGGTACACCCCGCAGTAGCCCCCTCACTAAACTTCTG